CCCCGGTTTTCCCGCAAATCACTGATGAGATGCTGCCTTGTCAAGTGGATAATCGCCAGCACCACCCAGCAAGGACCAGGTAGAGACCGTGGCAGCTGCTGCAGGGGAGGCTGAATGGTTTTAATTCAATCCAAACATCACGTATTCCATTAACAAATGTTGAAACACATAAAACACATCCCTACAAAGGGTGCAAATAGCTGTTGTGAAGTGTTCTGACAAACTCCAGAAACCACAGCAAGAGTTTAGCACAAGATTACTGTTCTGACTGAATTATCACTTTTCCCTCGCGACTCATGAGGAAAACCTCCTTGCTGTCTAGCCACTGTCAGCCAAAAATCCTTAAGTATGTTCCCACAACAGCCAGTCAGCATCGAGCAGCCAGCTTCACACTCCGCCCCTGCTCCGTATACCGTTTAGGAGGCTGAGCCTCAAAGGAAGTGACGTATTTTGACATGCTGGCCAACCGGGGCTCCACTTTTTCATTGCTTATTTCAATAAACCGATGTTCAAACCTCAACAGGGATTTGTCATAGATGCTGAACAGCAGCGTCCTGCTGCTCCAGAGCAGAGGCGAGATCACGTTCGAGAGCGGGCTCAACATCTGATTAAAATGCAACATACTCATGTAATCAGCAGCAGTTTAGGGCATATTAAATGCAGTTTAATGGCTACATTAATGAAGTTTGAAAAATACATTTTTGACCAATAATGTTTCGAAATTAACAGGGGAGGTTGCCACTGGCAGAGACACAGGAAATGAGATTAGAGCAGAAGGATGCCCTGAATAATAAAACATCATGAGAGCAGAACTGGAATATTACAGTTGGGATGTATGCTCTCAGTCTCACAGGCTACAGAATGAATCAATTTAGCAGCTTCTGCTTCATCCATTGCATATTTTAAATGTCACCATTTTCCAATGTTTTTTTTAGCCAAGGGCATTACAGTCTGTTTGCTGGTATCTAAGGCTATATAATCTGAGTTGATCTGTCAGGAAATTGATCAAAAATCTGTCATTTAAAGGCATAGACTTCTCTGTAGGTCCTTACCTCACTGCTTCTTTTCCATTTTTATTATTTGCAAATACACAAAAAATGAATGTATGCTTATTTGCATTTTATTTAAATACATTAATATAACATATTGACATGTTTTTTTTTCCATAGATATTCCCATTTGGTTTATTTAAATGATTGTTTACTCTCACTAGTATATGTTTTTACACTTGTTCATGTTGCAACTACAAGCATTTGGGATTTCACGAGACAAAGTAGCACATTGCTATTGCCAGCTTTAAAGTAAAAGATAATTGGTATTTTTTTTAAATAAATAAAGCACGGCTTGCACATTCATTCAGCTCACTTTAAGACTCCTAAATGTGGTCCACTGCAGCTAATTGGCTTCAGAAGACATTTTTCCCAACTTCATATAATCTAACTTTAGTATAAATCCAGTTGATCTGATCATATGGGATCTGTTGTGGGACAAAAGTATTTAGCTATTCACTCCAGTTAAACAACTGAGATCAATGGATTTCATTCAGTCAGCATTTTATTTCATCTTTGCAAAAAGAGAACAAGACATCATACAGCACTTATTGCATAGTAATCAGCCCTGTTCTGATCTAGCCAGAGTTTGTCTTCCTTATTTAAAAGGATGGAAATGCTGAAGGCTGTGTCAGAGAAACACCTCCCTACCCAAAGCACAAAACAAAAAGAACAAGAAAGAGTCTAAATGTTTTCTTATTATGGCCAGACACTCCCTAATAGTATAAGCAGCCCCCTCTCTCTTAGCAATGTTGGCCTTGGAACACCTGGGCCTGAATGAATATATATATATATATATATATATATATATATATATATATATACATACATTTTTTTGCTATATCAGACAAAAGTTAATTTTAAAATTTTAAGTTATTTTTGTAGGTATATAATAATAATACAAAAACAATTCAGTGTAGAATAACACTTCATGCAAATGCATGCTTTGAATACAAATTTATACTTTTAAAGGTTTCTTTGCTGTAAAAGAACTGACAGATATTTCGCCCAAAAAAGACTTACAGTTGCTGTTTCTTAATTTAGATGCATTACATCCTTTTTGTGTTTTTTTGTAAAATATTTGACCTCACTTGACAAACATGCACTACATGTTGGGACCTAACACCGAAAATCCAATTAAAATGCATTAATGTTTGAAGTTGTACCAAAACAAATTTAAAGTGTGATAAATACCAAGACTTTGTAATTAAAAGAACTAAAGGTCATAAACTTTTGAACTGATATAGCAAATAAATCTGCAGTAGATCCATTAATCTGTGACCCAGAGAACCAGGAATTTTCTTCCAAAACGATTGATGGAGAAAATCATAACTTGACAAATATTCTGTTTAGCTCCAACAACTTTGGCGCCATCTAGTGGTTTCAAAACCTCAAAGCATATTCTGTTTCAGCCATTCTTTGCTTTCTTTTGTTGTTAGATTTTTTTTTTTTACTGAAATCTTGAGTCTTTTAACATTTAGCACAAGGCTGTTCATAGAAATGAATATTGAGAAAATAAAATAAAAAAAAGAAAATCAAAGTTATATATGAGAAAAGAAGTGGCTCCTTGTGTTAGATGAGTTAGGTTAGCCTCTTAGCTGTAATGCTTCTTCCTCTGCATTCATTAAACCCTGATGATGAGGCTGCAAACTGCTTCACCTGCATATTTGCGTGCTTAATTCACCGCTCTCCATCCGTATTTAATAAAAGATAAGGTATGGATCAGCACTTATGGTGCATTAAACAACACACTGTTGCATTATATAGCTTAAAATTTATATCAAAGTCCAGATCCTGCATATACACTGCATCACTTTCATGTAAAGTAAAACTTATACAACTGCAAGAAAAAAGAAATGCATTCAGCTTCAAAGCGCTGTGGGGGTTTTTTTTTTGGCTCCATAACTAAACATGACTAATCTAACGGCTCAATCATACATCTGCCTTTTCGTGCATGATGTGCAGAGGACTTGATCAGGCTTTCCTTTGTGGTTGAAGGAGATAAACTAAAACATATTTCAGTGAAGCAGTAAAAAACAACTTTTTCATTCTTAAGCAACCATGTTAACAGCCGTAGCCCTGTTATAGGACATAAATAAACATATTATAGGGGGAAACTGAGCCTCACATCCCACATTCTGCTAACATGCAAACTGATATTTAGTCCTGCAGTAGAAGTTTTTAGATTTAAGAATTATTATTGACTGTCATTTTGATTTTTTTCTATAAAATCCAACCATTTAAGTAGCTAGTTATTAAAAAAACATGTCCTTATATTAGTGTGTCTGAGAACATTTTTTTTTTTATTGGTAATGAAAAGTGTCCACCCTTTAAGTAGATTAGTAGCTGATCATTTTAAATGGAAAGAAGTTTTGAAGTCCTGATTTTATTTGGTTTGGTTAGAAAATGACTACTTCTTCTGTCTTGGCAACTCCAGCGATCCATGCTTTTATTTCATCTCACTTAGATCACTGTAATGAACTTTATGTTGGAGTGAGAAAGAGTTGCATGAGCGAGTAGCTTGTCATTCCTTTCAAAGCTTCTTTAACCATTTTTACTCTCTCAGTCCATCAGGTCAAGTAGCTCCTGCAGGTACCAACGTCTCTAGGAGGAAGGTTACATGTTGCAAGGCTTTGTATTTGGCTTCTCTGGAATAAACTACCCCTGCACATTTGAAAGGCCTTTTCACTGCCTGTTTTTATAAAACTCATATCAAAACCCGTTTTTAGTCATTGGTTTTCAACATTTGCTTGTTTTTATTAGATGTGTTGTAATAATCTTTAATTCCTATGTAGTATTTTCATGTTGTTGCTTTTTTGATGTCTGCGGCAATGCACAACTTTGTTTAAGCTGTGTCTTTTTTTTTTTTTAAAGGGCTTTAAATATAAAGCTAGTATGGTGTTGTATTAAGCAAATATGAATAAAAATGGGGGTTGTGACCCTGAAATTGTGCTGCTAGGCTTTTAAAGCAGCTTTTCTATGCAAGCTGTTCTGGCTAAATATTGAAAGAAAAAGAATGATGGTGTAAGGAGAAGATGAAAGTCAGAAAATTCAACAAACAACTGCTTTGGAATTGCTTATTTTAAAATGTGGGGTGAAATACATTAGAATTAGCTTGGTTGCAGCTTTGGCCACAAAATTCAGTTTACATGTAACCAAAACAGAATTGACACATCTATGCTATCATTTCTTTGGGGTTGGGGATGATGTTGGTTTATGGTCTTTTGATGGCCTAAACTAAAGCTACAACCAACACAAGTAAAATTCCTAACTTGCATAAGCCGTGCATTAAAATGCATACGCTGCACACTTTCTCTGCCTGTTCCCTGACCAATATTTTAAGTCCAAATGATTGATTAGCACTCCCTGATACTTAAACTGAGTCCATTAAGTTTTGCAGACTCACCAGTTTTCAACTATGCACATATTCTTCTTTACTTTCAACTGTGTTGTAAATGTGCTTGATCAAAGCAGAGGCATTGTGTAAAATACTGTTCTACACTGATGCTCCACCTGTAGTAATAAATGCAGCACTATATGTACCTCTCTGAAGTGAACGTTCACAACATGAATACAACTCATTGTTTTTCATTATATTGAAAAATACTCAGTAACCGACATCTTATGCTTGTGTTTGATTAAAAACCACTTTACTTATTGAGTGTATCAGTCTGGAGACACAAGTACATGCTCATAGGCTCATTTGCACTAAGTGCTACTCACATCCCTGCCATCAGCAAATGTGGATCAATGCTTGGTTTTACAGTTTTGCATCACTGAAATGACGGGGCTCTCATGGAGAGACCTGACTGCCAATCACAGACCATTAGTAATGAAATTCCTTCACCAACAACTTCTACAATCACTGGCACCACCCTTAAACCCACATGTAAGCACACACCTGCTTCACAACAGCTGAAGCTTTGACTTACTCTGAAACAAACCTGGAGATGGAGCTAGGATGGATGTTTTTGCAAATGAGGAAAACTTTGGATTTTCTCAGAGTTTCAAATTTCTGAATTGCATTTCAACTGAGGTGCGCATGTTGAGTTTGTCCGACCTGGACAGCAGGATGTTCTGCAGTCATACATTGTTGGGATTTTTTGGCTACTCGGTGGTTTAAAACATCGTACAACTACCAAAGCTGGTAGAATAGCTCTGATTTACTGAAGGAGGTTAATGGATGAAGTAACGGATGTTTATTTCTAGCAAAAGCTGCTCAAAAGAGCCACTTAGAGAACTATTTTTTTGTTTGTGTGACGTTTTTAGAGCTTACATCTAAGTGAATAATGGGTTTGCAGGGAATGGAAATAATTGCAATTGCTGTAGTTCTTGGACTTTTTATTGTTGTTCTCAAACAGTTTGGGATTTGGGAGCCTTTATCACTGGAAGGTAAGAGCAGGGTAAAAGTCAAATATTTAATAACTAGTAATATGAGCTTTTCTCTTTAAAAGTGAAACTTTTGTTAATGAAATATTTCTATTTGAGTCTAAAATCCACAAATTCTTCCTTTTATTATATTTCTCCATCAGCAATGTTTTATATATTTCTAATTAAAAATAATGTACAGTGGAAATATTTGTTTATATATTTTCAATGTTTAACTCACATTTCTTTTCTTTCCCTATCATTCCTTCATCACTTTCCTAACTTCTCCCATGTCTGAAATCGTAAAGATGGTGAGTAGCTCCATCATCATTATCATCATCAGATTAATTTCTTCCCATTAGTCCCTTGAATGTATTCCTCCTAAACTTCTATTCAGTTTAGCTTAAAAGATTTGTGATTAAAGAGAAGTAGACTTAACTTTTTTTTTCTTTTTTTACATTGTGGACATCTACTTGTCACACGAGAGCAGCTAGTAGCAAACATTATATCTAAAAGCATAATCAAAAGTGAAACAACAGATACATTGTAATAAAAAGCATGGCATAAATAAATTGGTATAGAGTTTGCTTAAAAAAAAAAAAATATGATAACCGCAGAAATATTCAAATGTAAAATAAATTTAAAAGAATTTAAAGTATGTACCTAGTAAAGAATATAGAACCATTCATCCATCATCTATACACATTTATCCTTTACAGGTCTAGGGGGAGGGCTGGGATTGGGGGTCATCTGCAGCAGAAATAGGGTGAGCGCTTTAGAACACCCTGGACATGTCGGTAGTTCCTTAAGGGTTAATACATAATACAATTATTCCAGTTTTGTCATTTAATAAGTGCTGTATTGGCTGAAATAGCCGTAATCCAACAATAATAAAAATGGTTATATAATTTATTAATACGATACTTTAAATAAAGACATATAAACATATATCAACTGAATTATTCAAATTTCAAAAATCATTTAGCTTATCAGCTGATTTTTGTATTCATTCTATTATTTAATATTTTAACTCGTCACTATTGCAATTCATATAGAATAATTCTTAGCTGATTACCTTTCACAGGTTTAAAGTAGCACTGTATAATTTTGAGACATGTATTTGCTTAATTCTCGGATATATTAAATGATTTTAGGTCAATATAAAGCGTTTTGCATGTATAGATGCAGCATGCAGGGAACCCTTTTCTTAAAAACTCCGCTATGTAACCTGAGAGAGTCAGATCCATCACTGAATGAGTTGTGGGACAAAGAGGGCTGCAGTGCAGCAGTCAGAGCACCTTTAACATGAGAGCTACCCTTAAAAACGTTGTTGAATTTGTCAGTATTTTTTTCATGTATCATTAGTTTATTCTCTGTATTATAAAGATGTCCTATTTTCAACAACCCCTTAACCCAAGATTTTAATCCACCATCTATTCTAACTGGACTGATTATTGGGCTAAAAACTAAAAGCAAAGGTGTTTCTTTTAGAAGGAAGTTTACCTGGTACCAAACTTTGTCTTCAACTTCTTCTTATCCTGATAATTTTAGAAATGCTGTTGGTCATAACTTTAGCAAATAGTTCTATATAAAGCAAATTTGTCCATTTAATAAAATGTTGGCCAAAAACATAATGTTTAAGAGCCTCAAAGAGAAATAACCATTCCACTCTGTCAAAAGCGTCAATTTAATGACAGCACTACTGCACTATTTTTCCCTTTTTTCATTTATTATATCTAGAATACCCTTAAAGGAATAGTACACCCAAAACATGATTAGCCTTCATTTTCTACTCACCCCCATGCTGAACAACACCCTGGAGTACTTTTTTGATATCTCAAATGCATCTGGAGATCTGGGAGGCTTATTGCTGTCTGCTGACATTCAAATAATGGAGGTCTATGGTGCCCGAGACAGAAAGGTCCATAAAAGTCCACAAAAAACGTGTCAATATTCCTCCATACTGCTCGTCCAATGTATTCCAAGTGTCCTGAGTGGGTAGCATCCAGAATTTACTCGAAACGAAGTCATTTAGAATGTTTTTAGAGCATAAACAGTAGTGTATAGGATTTCCTGAAAGCGCGCACATGCACGTTCAGGACGCTACGGAAGCCGGCAGACCAAACCAGATGAAAGTGCGCATTCAGCGTCTGCTCTGCCAATAATGCAAGCGTAGAAGAAGAAATGTGCTGTTTACCTGTGCAAAGAAAGAAACAACGAAAGAAAAATGTCTGAGGACTTCAGTGTTGAGGAAGAGCATGAGTTTTTTGCTGAGCTGAATGCGCACTTTCGTCTGGGTTGGTCCGCCGCGGTTTCCGTAGCGTCGTGAACGCGCTTTCAGGAAATCCTATACACTACTGTTTATGCTCTAAAAACATTCTAAATGACTTAGTTTCGAGTTAATTCTGGATGCTACCCACTCAGGACACTTGGAATACATTGGACGAGCAGTATGGAGGAATATTGACACGTTTTTGTGGACTTTTATGGACCTTTCTGTCTCGGACACCATAGACCTCCATTATTTGAATGTCAGCAGACAGCAAGAAGCCTCCCAGATCTCCAGATGCATTTGAGATATCAAAAAAGTACTCCAGAGTGTTGTTCAGCATGGGGGTGAGTAGAAAATGAAGGCTAATCATGTTTTGGGTGTACTATTCCTTTAACAAACCTTTCCTACCTTGTATATAGTCATTGTGAAATTTAGCAATAACGTTTGGGATTATACTGTATTTACAAGTCTGTTAGGTAGAATTTTATACCGAATGTTTAGGTCTGCACAGGGCCATTTGCAGTAACATATCAGTTGAATTTTGATTCAACTGCTAGAAGGTGACTGATGACCAGTGCAGAGTTAAATAAACTTTTGTCCAATATTCCATTGCTGTCTGAGTAGCTCGCTGGGTTGAAATTTTTCCTCAAGAAAATTGCGTTTTTTTTTCTCATCGTCTTCAAGAAATTAAACTGCTCTCCACCTACATTTGTAGCTTGATGTCCTCCTCTTCCACTAACTGCCGTGACTGACAGACTCACTAACGGCATCTGTAGCCAATGACAGAAGGAGGGAGTGTTGACGTAGTGGGTTAGAGCAGTGCGCTTTTGCTCTCAGAAGGTTGCAAGTAGCCAGTTCGATCCCTACAGCCTGCACTCTGAGCAAGACCCTTAACCCCACACTGCTCCCCGGGTGCCGCACAGTGGCAGCCCACTGCTCCCCAACAGAATGGGTTAAATGCAGAGGTAATTTTCTCAAATGTGAGATCAATAAAGTTAATTTACTACTATGATTATAGCGACAGTGCGTGTTGATGGTGCACAATGCGTATGCCAAGGTCCTCGAGCTCCTTTTTTTTTATTAGATAGTCTTGGCTCTTCCAATTTCTTTATTTCTCTCCAGCATTTTTAATTGTCATTCCACTGTCACAAGTACAGAGCAACGAAATGAACTCTCTGCATTTAACCCATCCCCTTGGTGAGCAGTGGGCTGCTATTGTGCAGCACCCGGAGAGCACCATGGTGTTAAGGGTCCTTTGCTCAGGGAGCCAGAGTGGCCGTCTGTGGGAGTGGGGCTCGAACTCAGAACCTCAGGACTCCAAGCCCTATGCCCTAACCACTAGGCACCCACTTCCCACCCCAATGTTATACACCTCACAGTTTTATGGGAGACCTAGATCATCGTCCTACTTTCAGTTTCGGTGTAATTTATGTTTAGAGTTTATAATTCACAATTTAGGCAACATATAAATAAAAAAATAGAGAGGACTTGACCTTGGTGTCCTCATTATTATTTAGAGCCCTGGGTCTGCATTTAAGAGACAAACTGGCCCAGAATGTTCTCATCTACTGTTTGGTTTAGCTGCTTTCAGAAGCTAAGTAACCCAGACAGCTGTTGTTGCAGACATCTCAAATTGTGCTCTAACCATAAGTATTTTTTTTATTAATATTTAGTCATCCTGGTGTATAGAAACATTCCTCTAATTTCTTAATTTTGATTTATAATAATTTTACGTTCTTGTACATTTCTTTAGCAACATAGCTAATTGTAATAATTAGTGAAAGAGTGAATAGTTTGTTTATGAGGACCAAAAGAAATGATCAAGCTGATCCAGAATCCTGAGAAAAAATTGTGAAAAAACTAAAACGCAAAAATCGAACATAAAGCAATGCTGGTTAGGAATAGAAAGAAAAGATACAAAGTCTAAATCCAAAAGAACAAGGATAAATACAGGAGGATATGAGTAATAACACTTTGTGACAAGAAGGTGTCCACAATGAGTAGATAAAAAATAAACTATGTTTATGCACTTAAAATATATTTTATTTATATATCTTTTCTCTTTAACATACCTACATGTTCCCCTAATCATACCCTTCTATCGAATTCATGAGAACATTTTCATCAAATGTTCTCATCTCTAACCAACCACCCATTCCCCATCCTTCCTGTCTTATCTTCATTTTTCATCTGTTTTCTTAAAGATGGTGGGTGCTTTTATGTCATTTTGGTTTTCGAATATCTTACCCTCCTCCCTTCATTTGTTCAGATTTTCTTTCTTTCTGGTCTTACTGCTTTTTCCTCCCTCTTTTCTTTCTCCTGTCTTCCACCTGTTTGGTCTGATTCTGTCTGGCAGACAACATTGACAGTGACCTTGAGCTCTCCATGGTGAGGCACCAACCTGAAGGCCTCGACCAGCTCCAAGCCCAGACGCAGTTCACCAGGAAGGAGCTCCAGTCTCTCTACAGAGGCTTCAAAAATGTAGGGGAGAGCTCAACACAGCAGAAATAGCTCATAATCACAAACATATTTCGAGTTTAAAATGATTTTCAGATATTTCTGGTATTAAAATACAGAGTTTTGTTTTTTGTATATTTTAAAAGACGTCAATTGTTGTACCTTTGCACTTGCTGTCCCACAAATGTATTGGTATCACTGGTAAATATTTGTACAAAGCTACTGTTACTGATAGCAGGCTTGTTTTTGTTTTCTCATTAGTTCTTAACTTGGAAAAACATTCATCTTGCTGTGAACAGTGGCTAAGAAAGCAACGCCTCACTGTCACCTCATTTTATATCCCAAGGAAACATGAAGTAATAGATTAATGAAATACGCACTAAATACTCAATAAGAATTTAGCAACAAGAAAAAAAAAAAAAAAGGGGCTTTATTGTATAAAGGCATCTGTTTATTTCCTTGACATGGATTTATGGTGCTCAGATTAAAGGTTAGAGCATTTAAATGTTTTCATAAACTGTGTCAAAATAGCACTGGCAGACCATTACTTACCTGTCAAAACTAACAATTTAGTGGCGTTAATTTAATAATCAAACAAATATGAAAGAGGAAGATTTCTTTTCAGCAGATGATTGAAAGTGCTGTGTATATAAGACCACTATATATATATATATATATATATATATATATACATACATACATACATACATACATACATGTATATGTATGTGTATATGTATGTGTATATATACATATATACATATACACATATATACATATACATATATATAGATACACATACACATATGTATACATATGTATGTATGTATATATACATATGTATGTATGTATGTATATACATATATATATATATATACACACACACACCTCGCTTTTAGGCAGAACTGTGAAGACACAACTGTAGTTAAAAAAACTACTAAAGATGAGCACATAATTTAGATTTTTTAAGGTTCTGCTGAGACATTGGACCTTTACACCAGGAGGTGTTCTTTGGTGATAGAAGTCCAACTTCGTTAGAGTCTTTGACGGTCCAGGTCAGAGTTCATTCAAACACAGCCAGAAATTGAGCCTTTCTGGTTTCTGGTTGTATTAACTGAAACTCTATGTTATCTTTTGAACATTGTAACTTTGGTCCAAAACTATTACTTTAGTTTTGTTCTGATTCATTTAGAGAAAATTTGTGCACATCTGTGCATGGATTTCTTCTATTCATTTACACAGTGTTTGAAAGGAATCAGCCCTAATGCTCGCGTAACACAACATGATTTTTTTTCAATTTCTAAAATAAAGTTACCTACTGACAGAGAAAAAAAATTTGTTCTCCATGTAAAATTTAAACCAGTCCTGTTTTGTGCCAGAAATGGCAGTTTGCCAGGCACTGTAATAAAATTGAGTACTCAACAGTTTTAAATGCTGCACTAATGGTCCAATAATACCATCACCAAAAATAAAAATAAACTAGCCTTGCATTCAGAGGTTTAAAAATACATGCACAGCTCTTTAAATGCTTAAGTTGTTTTTTCCTTTTTGGTTTTCTCTTTTTTAATGAATAAATGCATAAGGGAAGCTTGTTGATCTGTCAACAGGAATGTCCAAGCGGATTAGTGGATGAAGAAACTTTTAAAACTATCTACTCACAGTTCTTCCCTCAAGGAGGTACAGTAACTATATATAACCTGAGTCTCATGCCAACTGTTTTTTGCCTGAGTGTTCCTGTTCTAAAGGTCTATTTTAAATGTGTTAGATTACTCTTAGTGGTAGCCCACCAGTGTAGCATAATGGTTGAACATACCATAAGAATATTTTGTTTTAGCAAAAAAAACATTATTTTTTATAGCAGTGCATTGATTTCCATGTTTTCTTTCAGATGCTACCACATACGCTCATTTTTTGTTTAACGCATTCGACGTGGACAGAAATGGTTCCATCCGATTTGAGGTGAGTCAATCAGTGGCTGCAGTTTTGATCAAATCTAACAGCTTGACCATTTTTTCAGTGCCTTCCTACTTTGACTCTATGTGCTTAGTTGAGGTTTTATCCTCTTGACCAACAAAGCACTGTGAACTTTGTCCAAAAACCCATTGCTGCTTCTTTGCAGAACTGCTGAGAGTCTTATGTTTATGGAAGAGGATTAGGGCCACTGAAAAAAAAAGTTAACTGATTTTTAAATTTTACTTCAGTTTAATATGGGGAAAAGGTCAGAATTCTGAATAAAAAAAAACAGAATTCTGAGATTAAAGTCAGAATTCTGACTTTTTCTTCCCATATTAAACTGAAATAAAATTAAAAAATCAGTTAACCTTTTTTTATTTTTTCAGTGGCCCTAATCCTCTTCCATATGTCTCTACTGCTTTTGCATATCTGAAAACCTTTTCTTTTTCATTGTCATTTGATTCAATAGCTCAAGCTCAGTCTTGACTGTATCCAGTCAAAACATCAGTGAACACCAGCTTTTGATTCTTTTTACAGATTCTCAAATGGATCCAGGTCTGGACTTTTACTAAGCCATTCTTATACATGATAATGCTCTAATCTACAATAAAACTCCTAACACCAGTGCTCTGTACTCTTTGAAGACTAGTCCTTGTAGCTTTGGACGTGTGTTTAGGGCCCTTGTCCAGCTGGAAGAGGACTTTCTGCCCAAGTCTAAGTCTTCGAACAGCCTACAACAGATTTTCTTCCAGGTTTTCCCCACATCCGATCCAAATCACCTCCCCCACCTATCACCCCTGCAATTGACAATGTACCTATCGGCTGTTTCTTTGATTAATATTCTTAACAGCTTTCTTCCAAAGCATTCTGATGTGTTCCTTGATATTCATGATGCTACTTTTTTAGTAATATTCTCTATTAAACCCCAGAGTTCTTTATCAAAACAGCTGGATTATTTCTCAGATTAGATTACACACATGCATTTACAAATTATTTCACTTCTGAAGGCATTTGACTGCTCTTATTTAGGTTTATCAGAGTGAAGGATTCTGAACTTACACCACGTTTCAGATTTTTTTTTCAAAGTATGTTGCGGTTATTAGGCAAAAGCTTGGCAGTCCAAGTGCAATTACTTTTTTTTTTTTTTTTTTTTGCAAGACCCTGCAGCTGCTTACAGCAAACTAAGAAAAACATTTCCATCTCATTCACAGGACTTTGTGTTGGGACTCTCTGTTTTACTGCGAGGTTCTGTTACCGAGAAACTTCGCTGGGCATTTAATCTTTATGATATCAACAAGGACGGCTACGTAACTAAGGAGGTAACAGATCTAATGGAGCAAAAGCTTTCAAACTAAAAACAGTTCATTGTAAAAACCTGTGCATTCATTTTGTGCCCTGCAGGAAATGTTGGCGATTATGACCTCCATATACGACATGATGGGCCGGTATACCTTACCCAGCATACGAGATGATTCTCCCTTTGACCATGTGGAGAAGTTTTTCCAGGTGCATTAAAACTTTTTTTTTTAAATATATATATAATTTCCACAGTAAATATCTAAAGCAAAAAGCATAAAAAAATAAACCTGTTGGCATTTCTATATTATTAGATAATTTCCATTTCTTAGAATTTTTCTAATCTAATTAAATCATGAGGTTACATTAGCTTTACTTATTTACTATTCTTCTCTTGTCTTGTGAATTTATTCATCTTTTTTATTAGAAAATGGATAAAAACAGAGATGGAGTCGTGACAATAGAGGAATTCATAGAAACTTGCCAAAAGGTAAATTATCCCCAAAGCGACAACATTCACCAGGCAGTAATTACCAAAATCAAAAGTGTTTTTCTAATATCTTCTTTGTTTTTTTCCTCTCAATAGGATGAAAATATAATGGCTTCCATGCAGCTCTTTGAGAACGTCCTTTAGTTTCTGTAGGGAAAATTTCACCTTGTGACACTTCCAGTTACAGCCACAGGCTACAGCTCCTAAGCAATTCCACTTACTGTATCTAAAGATGATTTTGGACAATACATATAGGACACATGTTCATATAGTCTAGACAACACAGATTTCCCGTAAAATGTGAATATCCAAAATAGTATCCACCAAATCACATTAAAGCATTTCTGTTCTTCTTTTTTTTTTTTTTTTTGCATGAAAGTGTTTTTTTATGTGGAAAACATCTTTATTACAAGACGTGCATGAGTGTTTCCCTGGATTAAAACAGCATGTGAATGTGTATTTATATGCAAAGAAAATGTTTTGGTTTGTTTTGTTGTTGGAAATGCTAAATGTGGGAGAATACTTTATTATTAAATACTACTGTGGTGAGTGTCCTGGATTTTTTTTATATATATATATATATACTTGGTATGAAATCTGCATATTTCATATCTCATAGATGTTTTTGGCTAAATTTAGGAATATCATATCCATGGAAAGTGAGTTCATATAACTTACATCCTCTCATTATTTACCTGTAAATTTGTTTTTTAAACAGATGTTACTTATTTCGTTACTTATTTTACTTCATCATTAAAACATAGAGTGATATAATTAAATGCATAATAGAGGCACTTTTCATTTTGTGACTACGGAGTCAGAAAAACAGCATCAGCAGAAACATTGAAGCTGTCCTGTAGGCCTATTATTGAACATTGAAAACCAGCCGCTGTTTGTTGTGGGGAGGAGCTAAACTGGATGCTGGTATGGAAATGATAATGAAGGCCAACACGCTGCCCAGCTACACTGTAGATGTTGTTTGATGAGAGACCACAGCTTCAGCATCAGAACCAATCTGTGGGACTAATAAAAACGGTAAAGTACCCTTTTCTCTCTCCAGCAGCTGAGGCAATATTATTGGATGTGTGTCACTTTCTCATCTTCAAGACGTACACATTCGAAATTCAATCCAATCCAATCATTATACAAATATTGAAAAGGTTTTATTTATTGAATAAGAATAAAAAAAAAATTAGGATAATTTTTGGAAGCTCTTGTTTTAATCAAAATTACCTTTTCTTATGCACTGCTACTGAAAATTAACTGACGTTTTAATGTGTTTGATCTTAACGCTTTCTTTCAAAAATAATTTCAGTAATGTATAAAGGATTAAACAGTGTAATACATCACTGTTAATCACAGGGAGGAGAATAAAACAAAAAAACTCCCAACATAAAAAAGTGAAATCTGCATCACAGGATCCTCAGCTAATCCCGTTGTTGACAGAGCATGTGCTGGATGGTTCTGGATCTCTGTTGTGTTAGCAGAGGGGAGTCTAGGACTTTGTTCATCCAGTAACAATAAATCAAAAGCCAGTTTGAACTCCTGCCAATAGATTTGGATCACCCCTGTCATCCACTATAACAAAGTGTTCAGTATCATTCCATGAAAAAAAAATTACGCATTTTGAGATTAAATTTTTTTCTTTATATAGTAAACATTTGTTTGAAATTTACAGCTTTCCAGTGATGGCTGCTCTGCAAAGACTTCGTTTATTCTGGGTGTTGATGCTGCTCGCTGCGGCGTTGTGCCCAGGTTCACTCAGCAAGCGAGGGGGAGGGTTCAAAGGTCACGGTAAAGGGGACGGCAGCAAAGCGTCTTCCTCCCAAAGCCTCCCCAAAAAGGGCCTAAAGTGGGCTGGAGCGGCAGGAGCCGGCATGCTGGGTGGAACCGGTACAGGTTACGGGCTGGGATTCATCGGCAGGCCAAAGCATGCAACTGGGAACCATCACAACCACAAGACAGAACATCAACAGCCTAATTATCAGGAAAACCAAAGATACAACAACCGTTCTATCTGGAGAGCATTTGTAAGAGGATCTGCCCCTGCTATGGAGAGAAGCTTCTTTCTCACAATAGGACATGTGGTGCCTTTTCTTACAGCAGCCTGGATCAGAGACATTTAATCTAGTCGCTGCTTATTGTGCGCTGTGACATGTAAAAATAAGTAAAGCTCTAAACAAAGAATTTTGATGTTTCTTGCTTTTTGCAGTTTATCTTATCTCCCATAGCGTTTTTTGATTAATCAAATAGCTAACTTCATTAAAATTAATGATATTCTGCACAATAACAGCAGGAAAGTAAAAGCGGTCTTCCAGTGTTTATAAACCACCAGCTAATGGACATCCATGTATTATTTAAAAGCAATTACTTTCTCTATGTTATACAAATCCCAAAACGACAAAAGTAGCTAAAGTAGATCTGTGCTGATTTATAATTATTATGATTTGTAAACTTGACTGAATTTTTTTCTACAGTAAATATATATTTTTAAATGTCCAGAGTTTAAAACAACCAAAAGTGTCTACATTTTAAGTCACATTTTAGTTCATTGGACACATAGACTCGGTTTCCTATCAACAAGGGTGACTTTCATTTGTTAGAATATTGAAGAATTCAGAATAAGGATTTGACTTTGGCCTTAGACAAATTACATTTATTAAACACATCAACATCCATAACAAACCATAATAGAAATCGGATAGAGTCACAACTGATGTAAAATGATATGAAAATAAATCCTAACATATATTAACATTTATTAAACTTCAATAAAGAATATCCAATTCTGATGGGAAATAAGTGCACTTTGCAGATATTCTACAGAGAAAGTCTACTAGCTCTAACAAAGAAATCCTGTCAAGAAACCAGATAAAATCAACCATGTTTATTTTATTCTGTGAATGAATTGAATTAATGTAAAAAGACACGATGAGTAGAAACATTTAAAATGCACATTCAGGAATCCTTACAATCTAATAGAAACAGAAACCAAAATGGTTTTTTTTTTTTTTTAGAAAGTAAAAATCTAATCATTTTATTTACCATAAATCAGCATTTTTAATTCATCCTGAGGACAGAAAAGTTTACTGAGATATTTACCAAAACAAAGAAATCCCTCACAAAGCTATCAAGGACTGACAGATGAATATGCTGGAAAAAAAAAACATGCATTTACAGCGATATTTGAACAAGAACAAGGCCAAACAGAGAATTATATTGAAGTTTCTTACAATAAAATAAGCTGCAATAAATGAAAGTCAACAATGACTGTAAAACTAAGAACACATGCTCAGTATATTGTACAACTTTCTCAGCATCAGTGTCAACAATTCCTCCCTAAAGATACACAAGTAGATTAGGAACTACATGTGGCGATTACTATACCATTAGCAATATTTTCAATGTGCAGGTTAAAAGCATCCAGCATCACTAACAACAAACGCACAGAGCATTTGCAAAAGCTGTGGAAAGCATTGCATCATCACAGACGGATGCTTCTTCATCCAAAGCCTCAAAATAAAGAACAGGAAGTAACAGAAAATCACACATCAGAAAGCTTTTTATCAGATAAATCTCTGATAAAAAGCTTTCTGATTTATTTAAATTAAATGTTTGTAATTTTCTCCAGAGTGCATTATGTTGGGAGTGAAGTTCAAAGCAGCACAGGAAGTATATAAATTAATAATTCTATGTCAATTAATCATTTTTGATTTTGCAGATAATTACTAAAGATGCACTGATGAGAAATTTGTTGGGGTTTTTTTTGTCAAATTTATGCCACTTTAATTCCTTTAGATTGAAATAATCACAATCAAACAGATTTTTTTTTCACTTTACATCCTAAACAGTCATTATTATTATCAAGTCCTTATATGAATAAAATAACAGAATTTTTTATTTAATCACTATTGTTTTACTTTCTAACCATCTGTTCAGTGGAAGCTAAAAAAAAAACTGCCTTTTCCAACCAGCAGCTGTTCTTTTTAAACCTCTCAGCAAAAAATTTAATTTTATTTTGCTATTCCAAAAAAATATATTAGAAAAAAAAGAAAAGAAACACAACTTTGAGCACTGATTTGGTTTTGGAGAGGAAAATGTTAAGACCAAGAGGAAAATCAAGTGTTTCCAACCTAAATACCAGCATTACTATTATTTGTTTCCACCAGCTGTGACCTTCTTTTTCCCCAAACATAAGCTTATGTAAGAGTTAACTGTTGAAAGAGAAGTGACGAGGGAAGAGTCAACAGCTATATAGAGTGAATATAGTGTGTCTAAGGGGATGATTTCTCTTGAGGATCAGATAATATGGACTAATGACACAATTTAGGCATCATACTAAATTCTTACAAATCCATTTGCTCAAAATGATCTTGCAAAATAATCTACAGGGCCACTATCTTATTGTAAATAATTTAGACATTCACTTCCATCAGTAGCTTTGCTCTTTTCTATGCATTAAGGATTATAAATAAATATATATATTTTAAATCAGCAAAAAAAAAAAGGTGCAATAAATCAACATATAATCTGAAGAACTCTGCATCATTTGCAACATGAACTTAATCCAGATTACAATGTTCTGCTGAAATGTTAATCAAAGCATGTAAGAATGTGCAGCGATGGTTAATACCGTGAGATTAGATGGACATGACATGCTGTTACAGCCATAATGGAAGCAGGGGAAATCTAGTTAGGACATGGCAGAAAGGAATCATACTCTTCTTCCTCACTGCAGCAACAGGATGCTGGACAGAAGCATGAGGCTGGAGGAGAAAAGCTGCATCACTCCATAGCTCATAGGACTGCAATGATTTGGCTGAGATTGTTGTTCAGGCTTTCGTTTTTCCATAAACTTTGCAGAGTACTTCATGTACTCCTCCACACAACGCCGGGTCTTAACTTGGTCGATCAGAGCTGGGTAACCAATTTCCTCAATGCTGACGGTGTCGTTATCCTCATCATTTGCTCCACTTTTGGAAGAGTCTTTAAGGAGGTCAGTGCGATTCATGCAGCCATCCATGAAGGCCTCATAGCTTTGAGCTCGTGGAGGAGGCTTGATGACGTAGTCACGGCCATAGTCTTTTTCATCCGTTGACTTGGTCCCATATTTCTTATACATGTAGTTGTTGTAATAGTATTCTTCCTCGGGTTGCGGAAGGAAAAATGGGGTCGAGGGAAGCGCCCTAGCCCATAACCGACGGCCATACCAGCTATGGCGCCAACACCTGCTGCCACCATGGCTTTTTTGGCGAAATTTGTCGACTTAGGTTGAATTCCCATACCCTGCACAGAACGAGAGAAAGGAGATCCTCCCATGCCTTGGCCACCATATCCATATGCTCCTCCACCAAACCGTGGGCTAAGGATTTTGTTATTTGGGTTCCAGTTAGGGTAACCACCAACCGCTCCACCGCCATAGCCACCCGGGTAGCCACCTGCTCCAGGGTACTGATAACCACCTCCTCTGGCTGGGTATTGGTTAGGATAGCCACCTGCCACCGGATATCCCCCAGCTGCAGGATACTGATTAGGATACCCTCCCCTGCCTGGATTTTGGTTGGGGTATCCACCGCCTGCGGGGTAGCCTCCAGCAGGATAATTCCCTCTCCCTGGTTGATTTGGATATCCTCCTGCAGGGTATCCACCTGCAGCGGGGTAGCCTCCAGCAGGATAATTCCCTCCCCCTGGTTGATTTGGATATCCTCCTGCAGGGTATCCACCTGCTGCGGGGTTGCCTCCAGCAGGATAATTCCCTCTCCCTGGTTGATTTGGATATCCTCCTGCAGGGTATCCACCTGCAGGATTTGGGTTGCCCCCTGCACCCGGATTGCTCGGTGGATTCTGCTTTCCAGGGTATGGGTAACTCCCTCCAGCGGGATATGGATTGGGGTTGCGGTTGGGAGCCTGAGGCTGTCGCGGGTAGTTCCCGGGTTGAGAGCTCGATGGCTTTGATTGAGTCCCACGGTTGGATGACGTTGATTTCTTTCCAAAGCTGCTGCCCCTTTTGGCCCAGGTTGAGTCAGGGTTCAAAAGCGACATAACAAACAGGGACAAAAGTGCAACTTCTAACACCCGCCCCATTGTAGCCTTAAATGGAAGAAGAACAAAACAAATGGAAATTACAAAGTAAATATTGATTGCCATATTTTTGCTTCATTTTTCTACCAGACAAAGAACTATAAACAGATTTGTCTTATACCTGCACCTAAACCGTTGTATGATTGTTAACTAGAGGCCTGCTAGAGACAGCATCTCAGTTTCACCTCAGAGCTGATCATCGGCAGTAATTTTGAGGCTTTTGTTCCATTAAAAAAAAACACACACAAATAAGCGACATCATCCAAAGCTGCTACAGACGTGTTATCGCTGAGTAACCAACCCATAACAATTTATTAATCGATCCATGTAATAAATAAAAAAAGATGAGGGTGTCGCTTTTTTTCCCAGTCATGAAAACAAACATAACACGATTAGCTTAAAACATCTTATATTTAATGGCCGTTACTTACAGTAAATTGATGCCTTGTGTGTGCCCGTCGACGGTAATTCAGTAACACTGCGTTTGTTGTCCTCCGCCTATCTCCGTTGCGTCTGGTCTCAGGGTGGGTTTATAACGCTCGGGGTGCGCTTGTTTACCGTAAGAGGGTGCACCGTTCGGGGAAATTGGAACGAGGCGGGGACTCTGATTTGAACACCCTGAACTCTGGTCAAAGCTTTTCAATTGCGCGTTTATCTGTATTAACATTGGACATGTTTTTACATATTTATTTACATTGGTGAATCACGCAAACACACACACAGAAAAAAAAAGTATTACTGACAGGCATTCTGGTGGAAAGTCCGAGAAAATTACATAAAAAAATCGGTCGTCCTGACAACCGTCATGTTACGTTAAAGGAATAGTACACCCAAAACATGATTAGCATTCATTTTCTACTCACCCCCGTGCTGAACAACACTCTGGAGTAC